CATCGCGGGCGGCGCGGGGTATTCCGTCGCGCCGAATTTATTGCGAGGAGGGGGGGGGGGGGGGGGGGGGGGGGGAGAGAGAGGGGGGGGGGGGGGGGGGTAGAGGGGGTTGGTATTCCGCCGCGATCTCGTGTTTCAAACGTTTTTCGCTGCATGCGGAATCGGTGTTACTGAGCTCGGCGATGGCGGCAGAGGGACAATAGCGAGACCGGCGCGACGCCATGCGCGCATCTCCACAATCCGCATCTCCGCAATCCGCATCTCCGCAATCCGCATCTCCGCAATCCGCATCTCCGCCATCCGCAGCTCTGCAATCTGCAGCTCCGCCATCCGCATCTCCGCCACGCGAGCTTGTCAGCTTGTTGTTACCTGCGACCCGGGATTGCCACCATGCTTGCGTGCATGTCGCAGCATATTCCCCCGCCCTCACGCCCCCACCCCCTCCCCCCCCACCTGCTTCCCCCTGCCCCGCCCTTACTCGCCCTGCCCTAATCACCATGTCGCAGCATATCCTCTGCCCCCAGGCTCCCACCCCGCTCCTTACCTTAGGCTCCCACCCTGCTCCTTACCTCAGGCTCCCACCCCGCTCCTTACCCTCTGCGTATTACTACCCTGCCCTGACCCGCCCTGTCCTAATCACCATGCTCTCCCGCTATCACTTCTAGTGCCCCTCCTTATCTCCGCGTTTCACATCGTCCGCACCTCCCACTTCCGCAGCCGTTGCAGCCTGCCTAACCTCAGCCTTTCCAAGCCCTAGCCACCCTACCCTACCCAACCTTACCACCTCCCACTCCCCCAGTCGCCCCAGCCACGCGCAGCCTCCCCAAGCGCAGCCTCTGATTGGTGGAGGGTAGGGTGGAGTGGGTGGAGTGACTGTGGCGGGGGCAGGGCTGCTACTAGCAGTGGTTCTTGCTGATGTGACTGCATTGAGGCTGATGTGACTGAGAAAACTGAAACGAGAATGAGTGCACTAAGGAATGAAAGTGGTACAAATATGAAGTGACAGAGGACAGGACCCCCAAAGGGGTCTGCTAGGGAGACTGCAACCGACCGACCACGCGGCGTGAGTGTGGTGCGGTCTCGAAAGAAGGAGCGAGAAGCCCCTGAGTCAAGTGTGAAGGTGAGGGAGGCCGAAGCCGACGCGGTACCTGAGAGCGCAGACTCACCAGCACCTGAGGACGCAGACGCACTGGCACCTGGAGCAACAGCCTCACTGGCACCTAGAGCAGCAGCCTCACCAGTACCTAGAGCAGCAGTCTCAATGCTCGGGTCGGGCGGGAAACACCGGTAACAGTCACCCTCATCACTAATAGTCACAGCATACATGGCAGCAAGAATAGCATCAAATTCAAGATCAATGATAGCTACACCCGCCCTAGACAGCTCTCCCCAGCGGGGGATCTCAGTGGCCTCCGGGAACTGGTGACGCCAAGCGTCCGTCAGGCGGCCAAAGCAGCGCTGGGTGAGGTAGGCCCCCCCACACTGCTCACCCGCGCGGTCTTTGGTGCGTAGGACGTAGGTGCACGGACCAGTACCCCCACCACACTGACGTGCAGCGTACCACTCACGGAGCTGCTGAAGGGGGGGGATGTCCCGAGAACGCTGCTGCTGGCGCTGACCACCACCGGAGCCGCTCCGCTGCGAAGCGCCACCCCGACCAGCTCCACCTCCTCCACCACCGCCTCCTCCACCTCCACCACCACCGCCGCCTCCGCTCCCACCGCTACCGCCTCCGCCGCCTCCGCCTCCACCGCCGCCACCGACACCCCCACCCCCGCCACCACTCCCACCGCCACCCCCCACTCCCTCCGCCGCCTCCACCGCCACTTCCACCTCCCCCGTTAGCTCCTCCCGCGCCCCTGCCCCCCTTGCCCTTGCCAGAGCGGCGTCTCCCGCGAGGGGCAGACGCCGCACCGACCGACTCAAGACCAATGAGGTCAGCCGCAGCAGCAGAGGTGACAGAGGGCAAAAGGGGGGAAGGGGAACACCCCTCAAAGACGGGGGTGCGAGGGTCACCACGAGAGGCTCCTACAGTGACTATGCTCTTCTCCGCCGCTTAGAGGGCCTTCTCGAGGAGGTCAACAGTGAGAGTGGTGGGACAGACGGAGAGGAAGTGGTCTCTGACCACACGAAGGGAGTCAGAGAGGCGGGTGACTATGTAATAGAGAGTGATGTATACGGGGGGGGGTTCTTGGCGCAGAACTCAGCAGGAAGCGCAGCGCGGTAGCGAGTGTCACTAGTGCGGAGGTGCGTAATGAGGTCAGCGATTGTGGGAAAGGCAGCAAGGTCAGGGAAGAGGTACGGTAGCATGAGGCGGCTCAGTGCAGCAGTGGCAGGGGAAGAGTAGCGCGCAACTATAGCGTCGTACAAGGTCTGAGCACTCTTGTCCTGACTAAAGTGCGCGCGCTCAGTGGTAGGCAGGTGGCGACGCACAGCAAGACGTGCAGCAGCATCGCGAGTGGCCCACTGTAAGCGAACAGTGGCGTCGGCATCGGCAGCAGGGGCAGGGGAGGCACCAGAGGTGAGGTCAAAGAGGGAGAGACCGTCTGCCCTATCACACTATAGGAAAAGCTGCAGGTCATCTACCGAGACGTCAAAGTCAATGGCTCGACCCTCAGCGTCAAAAGCGAGAACACTGGGGGTAGCCATGACTGAAGTAGACTAGCAGCGCTAACTGTAGGGCAGGGGCAGTGCAGTGACAGAGACGCTGCTCTCACCAGACAGGGCGGTTCGGGCAGCTCGGCAGCACAACAACTCGGCAACACGGCGGCTCGGGCGACTTGGGTGGCTCGGCAGCAACTGCGGCTCGGCGACACCCGCGGCTCGGCTCCTCAGCTGGTTAGGCGGCTCGGGTGGCTCGGGCGGCTCGGGCAGAGCGGGCGGCTCGGGCCGTGTAGCGGTGCGGGTGGCTCGGCTGCGTAGGGCGGCAGGGCCGCTGGTAGGGTGGCGGGCCCGCAGGTAGGGTGGCGGGGCCGCTGGTAGAGCGGCGGGGCCACAGGTATGGCGGCGGGGCGGGGACTTAGGTAGGGCGACGGGGCCGGGTCGAAGGAGGGCGACGGGGCCGGTACGTAGGTAGGGCGACGGGGCCGGGGCCGGTACGCAGGTAGGGCGACGGGGCCGGGGCCGGGGCGCAGGGAGGGCGACGGGGCCGGGTCGAAGGTAGGGCGACGGGGCCGGGGCCGGGGCGCAGGTAGGGCGACGGGGCCTGAGTCGGAGGTGGGGTGATGGGGCCGGGGTCGCAAGTAGGGCGACGGGGCCAGGGTCGCAAGTAGGGCGACGGGGCTAGGGCCGGGGCGCAGGTAGGGCGACGGGGCCTGAGTCGGAGGTGGGGTGATGGGTCGCAAGTAGGGCGACGGGGCCAGGGTCGCAAGTAGGGCGACGGGGCTAGGGCCGGGGCGCTGGTAGGGCGACGGGGCCGGGGCCGGGGCGCAGGTAGGGCAACGGGGCTAGGGCCGGGGCCGCAGGTATGGCGGCGGGGCCAGGGTCGCAGTTGGGGCGATGGGGCCGGGGTCGCAGGTAGGGTGACGGGGCCGAGGCCATAGGTAGGGCGACGAGGTCGCAAGGGCGGCTCAAATGAGGGGCCGCTAAGGCGGCTCGACGTGGCCGCTAGGGTGGCTCGACGAGGAAAGAGAGGGGAGCGCGACTCGGGCTGAGCGTGCTCCGGGCAGGAGGAAAAAAAAAAAAAAAATCGACTTGGTGGGCCCTAGGCACAGTTCCCACGAGGGAACCTGCTCGATACCATGAGAAAACTGAAACGAGAATGAATGCAATAAGGAATGAAAGTGGTACAAATATGCAACCCTAGAAATGTGTACCCCATATAGGCTACCCCGCTACAGCCTACACAACATTATAATTTGACAGTGACTGCATTGAGGCTGATGTAACTGCATCGAGGCTGATATGACTGCATCGAGGCTGATGTGACTGCATCGAGGCCGATGTGACTGCATCGAGGCCGATGTGACTGCATTGAGGCTGCTGCTGCTGAGAGGTGGTACGGATGACACCGACCATCGCACCTGCCAGGTGTGTGACCAGTCGACTCTAAACTTGCATTGCAGATCGCACATGCTAGTTCAGTCCGTTTCTCGATCTCGCATCCCTTACCCAAGAACGCTACAAAACCCTTTCTCGCCGACAGCACTCTCAAAACCCCCTTCACTCCGAAACCCTCTACGCACTCAGCCATGCCAATTCGCTTCTGTCGCTGCTCATCCCAACCCCTTCTTTGTCTCACCCATTGGACTCTTGACCCTTGTCCCGAACGGGGACAGGGAGCGTGGGCAAATGGGGACAGTGGGCTGATGAGAGGACAAGCCGCAAGGAGCTTGGCCGTCACAACAGCACGTTGAGCCAATCACAGCAACATGTTGAGCCAATCACAGCAGCACGTTGAGCCAATCACAGCAGCACGTTGAGCCAATCACAACAGCACATCGAGCCAATCACAGCAGCACGTTGAGCCAATCACGAATACCTAACATCGAGTCAGCACGTTCTTTTTTACAAGAGAATCGTTGAAGAGATTTCTCAAAGGGTTTCTCTCCTCCAGACAAGGAGATTACGAATAAGGTAGAGCTTGCGCGTGATTGAAATGTGTGAAGTGGTGGTATTGAACTGAGAATATACTGGTGTAGAGCGAGCGTGTGAGGGGAATGTGTGGCTTCTGTAAGTATTCATTTCATTCCCCTCGTGATATGTGAGGTCGACAGCCACCTCTGCCATCAGTTGTGCTTTACCAACAACCTCAAGGATATACGGTAGCTTTTGATACGTACTTCAGAACAGACAGCTGTAATTTGCCATCATATAGCATGTGTATAACCAGAACAGGGGTGCAATCTCTGCAACAGCCCATGCTTCCTAAACCAATCATCGTACAACCTTGAGTTGGTTACACACTCGAGATGACAACAAAGCCTATGGGAATTCTTTCTTCTACTAAATGGCTTTTGGAGTACAAGCATCACCAGGGACCAGGATCATATCTGACCAGCTCATGGGGACCGTGATCCGCCCTTACCACCTCCTATGTTACTGCCGCCACCGCCCGTTCCACTGCTGCCCGTTCCACCGCCATCCGTCGCCCCACCACCCGTTGTTCCGCCACCCGTCGTACCACCACTCGTCCCTCCGCCAACCGTTGCGCTGCCACCCGTTGCCCCACCACCCGTCGCACCGCCGCTTGTCGCACCGCCACTTGTCGCACCGCCACTTGTCGCACCACCACCCGTCGCACCGTCACCCGTCAATCCGCCACCCGACGCGCCGCCACCCGTCCTGCCGCCACCCGTTGATCCACCACCCGTCGCCCCACCACCCGTCGCACCGCCACCTGTCGCGCTGCCACCCGTCGCACCGCCACCCGTCCTGCCGCCACTCGTCGCACCGCCACCCATTGCCCCGCCGCCCATCCCTCCCCCGCCCATATTGCTGCTGCCCCCACCCAACCCGCCATCGCCCGTCCCTCCCCCTCCTTTTCCTCTGCCGCCCATTCCGCCATTTCCCATTCCGCCGCCGCCCATTCCTCCGCCGCCCATACCCCCACCAGGACCCATGGCTGATTGCGATCCAGGAGCAGATGACCCAGGTCCGCCCATGCATCCACCCGTTCCTCCTCCGCCGATTCCTCCGCCGCCCATACCATCCCCTGATAGGTCGCTGATGCGGGAGCCATGGCAGTTGATGCGGGCGCACTGGCTGCGCCCCCAGTGGGGGCGCTGGCAGAGCCATGGTCGCTGGGGGCGCCACCCGTCCCTCTGCCAGCGCCATGGCTGGTGGAACTGGGGGCCAGCGCTGGTGGAACTGGGGGCGCTGGCAGAGCCATGGTCGCTGCTTCTGATGCGGGAGCCATGGCAGCTGATGCGGGCGCACTGGCTGCTTCTGATGCGGGAGCACTAGCAGAAGCGGAAGGCGCGGATCCGCCTATTCCCCCTCCATCTCCTCCGCCACCTATTTCTCCGCCGCCCATCATGCTTCCGCCGCCTCCTTTTCCTCCATCGCCCATTCCGCCACCACCCATTCCGCCGCCTCCCATTCCGCCCATACCATCCCCTGATGGGTCGCTGATGCGGGAGCCATGGCAGCTGATGCGGGCGCACTGGCTGTATTGTAGAGGACTCTCCTCTACTTTTCAGGAACTGGAAATTTTTCTAAGCAGTAGAGCACTGTGCTAGCTTTCCAACGAACCGAAGATCACCTTGTTCGCCTAAGTATCGAGCGAGATATCGCCGTTTATGTGCTAGGTAGTGCTCTTAGAAGCAAGGATAGGCCTCTCTGGAATTTTGGTTCGAATGTACCTTGTACAAAGAACTCTGAGTTTCACTATTGAACATGCATACAAAGCAAGTCGATTTATAGCAAATGCATTACATTGAACCGCACATGTAACATCGCATCGCTACATTCGCGTCGCGAATGCGCCGCGTGTAACATTCCGGTTGGGGTGAAATTCGGCCATCGAATTTCACACCAAACACACCGAATTCGCCTTGCACTTGAAGGTTGGAATGTGGTGCCGCCACGTGGCACCGAATTGTGAGTCTTCCGAAGTCAATCGGTGCAACCCCACCGATCCCTAGTCAAAGGGATCGAAGGCACCAAAGTGCCCTCAGTGGGTTGGGGGCATACAACCGCCCCACCACCGAACTCCCTCCAACAGGCTGCACCCCCAGTGGGGGCGCTGGCAGAGCCATGGTCGCTGGGGGCGCCACCCGTCCCTCTGCCAGTGCCATGGCTGGTGGAACTGGGGGCCAGCGCTGGTGGAACTGGGGGCGCTGGCAGAGCCATGGTCGCTGCTTCTGATGCGGGAGCCATGGCAGCTGATGCGGGCGCACTGGCTGACAAAATTAGAAGAAAGAAGAGGATTGAACTAGCAGGAATGAGGATACAAATAGCAAACCCTAGAAGGGTTGTACTCGCTATAGAGCACGCCACTACAGGCAAGAACATAAGATAACATTCTGACACACCCCCATAGCCAAAGTGGGGTGTAATCAGCAGAGCAAACAAAGCAGTACAAGCTCAGGGTGGATCACAATGTCACCACACATTCTGAGCACAAGTTCAAGAAGCAATAGTTTAGAGTTCACAATTATAAGCAAAGCTAGTGGTAGTCACAACGGGCAAGTGAGGAGGAGGAGAGAGAGTGAGAGGAGAGGAGATAGGAGGCGACGGCTGAAGCTGCAGACACACGGGCAACAGGAGGCAGACTGGCACAGCGGCTACCGGGCGAAGCCCCCGGAATACAGGAGTAACAGGCCCCGCGGCTAAAGTAGCGGCAGACGAGCAACGGACCCACGGGCGGCTGGCACAGCTGGCTACGACAGGGCTACCGGGCGAAGTCCCCGGAATACAGGTGCTGCTGGCGACACGACGGCAACCTCCATGCAGCTTCCCCAAACTATCCCACTCCCCCTGGCACACACCCGCTGCTACACCGCTAGCTCCACTCCCACGCACCCCCCTTAAACCCTAAACCCCAGTCTCCCACACATCCACCCCCCTCAGCGACAGCTGCAGCAGTGGGAGACGAAGGAGGAGGAGAAGCAAAGGGAGGAATGAGGAAGTGCCACCCCCATACTCGCCACCCCCTGCTTGCCACCCCCAAACCCTAACACAGACAGGGTGGGATGGCGGGTAGGCAGGGTGGGATGGCGGCGCTCGCCCCCCTCCCCCAGGTAAATCCTCCCGTCGCCCGCAAGCGGCCCCCGAGGGTCGCCTCGACAGGCGACGGGAAAAGGGGGGGACGGGGCGCAAGTAGGGCGGCGGGGCCGCAGGTGTAGGGCGGCGGGGCCGCGAAGTTGGGGCGGCGGGGCCGCGACAGAAGGGCGGCGGGGCCGCGAACGTAGGGTGGCGGGGCCGCGAAATGGGGCAGCGGGGCCGCAAAGTGAGGCGGCGGGGCCGCGACGTGAGGCGGCGGGGCCGCGAAGTGGGGCGCCGGGGCCGCGACGGGTCCCCGTCGCCCGTCGCGGCGCCTCCAGAGGGCGACGCGGCGAACGACGGGGCAGAACCCCGCCGCGCGCCTCGGGGCGCACAGCGGGCAGAGAACCGCCGCGCGCCTCGGGGCGCACGGCGGGCAGAAAAAGTTGCAGCGGAAGCGAGGAGGTGGTAACCCACCCACAGGATCGATCCAAGGGGATCGACCTGCTCTGATAGCATGACAAAATTAGAAGAAAGAAGAGGATTGAACTAGCAGGAATGAGGATACAAATAGCAAACCCTAGAAGGGTTGTACTCGCTATAGAGCACCCCACTACAGGCTAGAACATAAGATAACATTCTGACACTGGCTGCTTCTGATGCGGGAGCACTGGCAGGAGCGGAAGGCGCAGATCCGCCTATTCCCCCTCCATCTCCTCCGCCACCTATTTCTCCGCCGCCCATCATGCTTCCGCCGCCTCCTTTTCCTCCGTCGCCCATTCCGCCACCACCCATTCCGCCGCCTCCCATTCTGCCACCGCCCGTTCCGCCACCGCCCGTTCCGCCACTGCCCGTTCCGCCACTGCCCGTTCCGCCACCCGTCCCTCTGCCAGCGCCCCCTGTTCCACCCTTCCCGTTTCCGCCGCCGTGTTTGTGCTTTTTACAAAGCGACAGTCCGCAGTGCACCCATCCGCGCATTTTCCCGCGCAGCTTGTCTGCGCGGAGCCCCGCGGAGAAGTGGAAGGCCAATGCGGTGTGGAGAGACGAGAGCAGGACACGCGAAAGGAGAAGAAGCGCCGCGCTCAGGTTACGGAGACGGATCCTGTTCAGCGGGAGCGAAAATGAGCGCTCCATAGCTCCGTTTTTGGCTAAAGGTGATAGGAAAATATTAGTAGGGATGAAAGTAAAGTCAAGACGTTTGCTGGAACGCACTCTCGGCGGGCTACTTTCTGCAAGTGTCGAATTTGGAATGCATTTATGGAGCTCAGCTGCAGAAATTTGTACCCTCGTCGCGTCGCCAATTTTGCGCGTCGCACATTGTGAAGTTGCTCGAATCTCGAAAAACGACTCGGCAGCAGTCAACGAGGGCATTGCACCAAGAAGCTGCAGCCACATGGACAACGAACTGCCCTGTCAACGAAAAGAAGAAACGAGTCAACCGTACTATCAGTCCTGGTGACCAGAAGATATCATCAGCCGGCGTTTCACGCCGTCATCGTACTGCCGGATGAAACAAAACGAGAAGGAAATAGACAGTCCTCGATATATGAGGTTTCAGCGTCAGTTTTTGAAAACGTCAAACCCAACAATTCGTACCATAAAAACACTAAGAGCTAAGTCAGTGAACTATGATCCATACTTTCCAGTTATCAACAGCTACAGGTGGCACTCATGCACTTTCATACAGAATTGGCCAGCTCTTGCTGGATGGTGGACGAGTGCTTTCGATTTCGATAGGTCAATCACAACAGTGCAACTCCATATTAGTCCATTTTAAAACCCATCCCAACACAAATCTACGTATCGCTATTTGTGTTATGCTTGTTAATCCAGGCCATGACTCCCTATACCTTTACATCTGAACTGCAAATATCTGCACAAAATCTCATCTGTTCCAGTTGAACTGTAGATTCCCAAGGTTGCTGAATCCTCCTCCCCCACCTCCGCCCCCTCCACCCCCCATCATCCCCTCATGCCCCATTCCTACTTGCTCTTGCATCTGCAGCCCTGCTTGGAGTGCTCCTGCTGCCACAGCAGCTGAACCACCCGCTCCTGCTGCTCCCATACCTAAACCCCCCGCGCCTCCACCAACCAAACCTGCTGCGGCGAGCCGATCCAGCGACCCCAAGCCTCCCACCAAACCTACATTCCCTCCAACCATACCTGCTGCTGTGGCTCCCAAACCACCTCTAAACCCACCAGCGCCAACATCACCCATACCACCACCCCCACCGACGAGAGCAGAATTAGGCATGGACATACCTGAATCCATCAAACCAGCAACACCACCAACACCAGCGCCACCATCCATCACATTCTCAAACCTCCCCAGGTCTGCAATGTTGGCTCCTAGGCTCGCCAGTCGCTCAGCCAAAGCCGCCCCTCTCATCCCTCCCAAACCTCCTCCCACGCCTCCGCCCGTAGGTCTGGCCAAGCCTGCAGCAGAAGCCAGTCCAGCAAAGTTACCAGCAGCCCGAACCATACCCCCTGCTGCTCCTCCCATCCCGTCAGGCAGCATATCCCCCCCGCCCATCATCCCTGCCCCTCCCACACCCCCCACACCAACAGCACCGCCAGCACCAACACCAGCACCGCTTCCCACCATTCCCAACCCTGCCAGATTTGTAACCCCCATGCTTCTGAGCCGAGCAGCCATTGCAGCCACTCTGCTGCCTGCAGGACCCATCGCAGATACACCTCCCCCTGGCCCACCCCCCCCTGCTCCACCCACCCCTCCCAAACCTCCCAGGCCTGCCCCCACACCCCCATGCGAGCTCATGCCTCCTCCCATCCCCCCTTCCGCCGCTCCTTCTCTCAGCATCCCTGCAGCCGCCGCCGCTGCTGCCATGCTAGCAGCAGTGCCAGCACCGGCAAGACCAGCCCCCCCAGCAGCAGCACCACCAGTGGCAGCAGAAGCAGAGGCGGCAGCAGCGGCCTGGGCAGCAGCGCGGTTGAGCATGACCTGCTGCATCAGCTGCTGCACTGCACTCTGTGCCTCTGCCCCTCGTAGCCCCTCCAGCTTCCCTGCCTGCTGCAGCAAACTCACTGCCACGTTCCCTGCAGCTGTTGCTGCTGCCGCTTGCGATGCTGCTGCTCCTCCTCCCATCCCCGCCCCCACTCCACCTCCCCCTCCTGCTGCCGCTGCAGCTGCTGACCTGCTTGCTGCTGCTGCCGCTGCTACTGCTGCTGCGTTCCCCATCCCTCCGAAATTAACACTGCCACCACCACCAGTACCAGCAGCACCTCCCCCTCCTCCCCCCCCACCGCACACACTGCCGCTGTTGCCACTAACCCCCTGCGCAGCAGCTGCTGCTGCTGCTGCTGCCGCTGCTCTTTCCATCGGGTTTCCCTGCGACACTGACTGCTGGTGCTGCTGCTGCTGCAGCTGTTGCAGCTGCTGCTGCTGCTGGTGTTGCAGCTGTTGCTGTTGCTGCTGCTGCTGCTGTTGTTGCAGCTGTTGCTGTTGCTGCTGCTGCTGCTGTTGTTGCTGCTGCAGTTGTTGCTGCGACTGCTGCTGGCGAAGATTAGCAAGGGCTTTAATCTGAGCCTGTCGAGCCATCAGCGTGGCAACTCTATTCGCCATGCCTCCACCCCCACCCACGCACCCAGCACTTGCACTCTGCTGCAGCATGCTCTGAAGCCCACTCAAAGTCATCCCCCCTCCTCCTCCTGCTCCTCCTGCCGCTCCCCCTCCCCCACCCATACCAGCGCCTCCGCCACCGCCACCGCCCCCGCCACTCATTGCTGATGCTGCCCCGCCTGCCCCATAGCTACCTGCTCTCGCCATTCCCCCGCCATTCGTCCTCCCCCCTGCGCCCATCTCCCCCCCACCAGGGCCACCGTCCCCACCTCCACCCCCCACTGCTGCTGCTGCCGACGCAGCAACGGCCTGCTGCCAGGAAGCTTCCTGGTGAGACACAGGAGGAGACATGAGAGCGGCAAACTCGCTCACAGCCCCCTGCCCTGCTGCTGGTGCTGCTGTGCCTTCCATCCCCCCCCCACCACCACCAGCATCAGCTCCCAATGCTTCAAGCTCCTGATTCCTTCCCATGCCAAACCCCCCTGCAGCAGCAGCAGCAGCAGCCGCAGCAGCTGAGCCCATAACCCTGCCCCCAGGCCCGCCCATACTCCCGCCCATGCTTCCCCCTACACTGCCAGCGCGGGTAAAACCGCCCATCCCCCTCCCTCCTCCCCCTGCGCCCCCTGCGCCCCCCATTCCACCCATGCCCGCGCCCATCCCTCCCGCCATGCCCGCCATGGCCCCTCCCACGGATCCAGACAAGGAATTGACAGAGGACGAGTGTCTCAGCCTTGGCGGACCCAGAGGCGCGCCCGCTGTGCTGCCAGCTGCTGCTGCTGCTCCCCCTCCTCCCCCCTCCTCCCCCTCCTCCCCCTCCCCCACCTGCTCCGCCTGCTCCCCCTCCCTCCCCCACTCCTCCCACTCCCCCCACTCCTGCCCCTGCTGCTCCTCCCGCCCCGCCCCCAGCAGCACCATCAGCGGGCATACCCCCAGGCTCCCTCTCCCCTGTACTGTCCGCTCTAGACATTCCCCTCCCGCCCATACCGCCAGGCCCTGCCCCTCCCCCCGTCCCTCCCCCTCCTGCCCCCAGGGACCCCATGAGGGCGGAGATCTGGGCGGCACTGCTCATTCTCAGGGCGGCAGCTGCTGCTGCCACTGTTGCCGCCCCTGACCCCTGCCCTGCTCCCATGCTCTGCGCTCCAAAGCCCTGTGCCCCTCCTCCTCCTCCCCCTCCTCCTCCTGCTGCTGCTCCTGTGCCTGGGGATAAGGAACTCTGCACCTCCTGCTGCTGCTGCTGCTGCTGTTGCTGCTGCTGCTGCTGTTGCTGTTGTTGCTGCTGCTGCTGCTGCTGCTGCTGCTGCTGCTGCAGTAGCTGCTGCTGCAGGTGTTGCAGGGGCGACCTCGGAGGAAGGTTTCTTTGCTGAGGGGGAGGTAGAGGCGGCAAACCCTGCCCCTGCCCCTGCCCCCCATGCTGCATCCCCTGGTGCTGCTGACCCCCTCCCATTCCGCCCATCCCCCCTGCTCTTCCCCCCGCCACTCCTGTTCCCCCCCCGCCCTCAGCCATGAGCTGTGAGGTGGGAGTGACGGCCCGTACCTCCTCCCTCCCCCCCATGCCCTGCTGCTGGGGGCTCCCTCCCTCCTCCTGCTGCTGCCCCATCGAATGCTGCTGCCCCTGCTGGCCCATAGAATGCTGTTGCTGATGCTGCCCTTGCTGCCCCTGCTGCTGTCCCACCACCTGTTCAGTAACCAGACCGAGCTCCCCTCCCCCCTGCTGCCCCTGTTGCTGCTGCTGTGCCTGCATGCGCATCTGCTGCTGATGCTGCTGCTGCAGAGGCGGCAGGCTAGGCTGCTGTAAGCCGTGCTGCTGAATCGAGTGGTCAGAGGCGCATGGGGAGGGGGGCGTGGGCTTGAGGCGCGGAAAGGAGTTGAGGCTCTCTGCAGGGTTGTGGGCAAGGGGGCAAAGGGGGACGAGCAGCGGAGGAGGGGAGCAGGGGGGTTGGGGAGAGCAAGGGGTGCAGCAGGCATTGGTAGGGTAGCCGGGAGAGGATTATTAGCAAGTGAGGGGTGCAAAACAGCATCAGCATTTGGTAGGAAAACATTGGGGCGGCCGGGGAATGGGGAGGGGACATGGGGAGGGAGGGCGAGGGTGGAGAGGGAAGTCAAGAATTGGGGAGACTGGAGGCGAGGAGGGAGGGCAGGGCAAGAACGAACAAGAAACTGGCAAAGGTTTTACTGGACAAAGGAGCAATGTAACCAATCGTACAGGTGGCGACTCACCAACCGTACAGGTGGCAACAACTCACCGATGGGTCCAATGTTGTGCTCTCGGCTGTAGTTGACCAAGTCCTTCATGCTGTTCACCACCTCTGATATCTGCCACAGGGGGGATGGTGGGATGGTGTCAAAAGAAAAGGCGGAAAGCACAAAGCCGATTTGCATGGAGTCATAGCTTAATTTATGCAGCACAGCACCTACTCAGGTATTTTCAATTGGCTCGAAAATAGAGTCATGGTGCTCAATGCTCACCACCTTTGATGTCTGCTCACAATGTGACAGCCATGAAAGTGAGTGAGGGTGATAGTGAGTGATGGAGGAATAGGTTTTTTGATACATGGGGTTCAGGGTCCAGAATTTGGGGTTCAGGGTTGTTGACTTCGCAAGTTGGGGTGTCCAGCTCAATACCCAAAAAAGAAGAAAGGACTTACAGCGGCACACCCACTGGCATGCAGGCAGCACAAGAATGTCGGCAACTGATAGCACCTGTAGCACCTGGAAGCACCCTACAGTATTGCATAGCACCTTGCAGAACCGCATAGCACACCTGCAGGCGGAGGACGTAGCGCTTGGTGAAGCTCAGATCGTTGACTCTTGGCGACTTGTAGCTGCTGAAGCACCTGAGAGCACCCTACAACATCTCATAGCATCCTACAGCGCCTCATAGCACCCCATAGAACTGCAGAGCACCTCACAGCACTGCATAGCACCTCGGAACCCCGCATGACACACCTGCAGGCAGCGCACGTAGCACTTGGTGAAGCCCAGGTCGTTGACTGTTGGGGCGTCCAGCTTGTGTGTCAACTCGCGACACATGGTGGCGAAGCTAAGGGGGGGGGGGGGAGCAATGGGGGGGGAGGAGGGCAATGCAGAGGAGGAATGGATGGGTCTGTGAGTCATGGTCACGAATGAGGGAGGTAATGAAGGAAGGGAGAGAGGTGTGGGGGGGGGGGGGGGGGGGGGGGGTTACGGGAGGGAAGGGCTTGCGGGTCAGCTCAGGACACATGGTCACGAAATTGTGTACGTGGGTGGAGGGAGGGAGGGGTTGTTTAAGAGGAGACAGGTATAGGCCAAAAGAGAGCAAGTCCCTTGCGAATCTTAAAGCGAGAGAGGGTGTAGAAGGACAGAAACCAACATGTTCCTGAAAGTGGAAACTTTGCAAAAGAGGTCGGAGGGACGAGGGAGGGGGATCGGGGGAGAGGGGGGTGGGAAGTGAGTGAGGTGGACACCAGGGAGGAGGTTCAGGGGGTGGGTTGAGCAGCGCTGGAAGGGATGCTTACGTGGCGCAGTGTGAGTGGAGCTGGTTGGGCGTGAGGGACCCCGGCAGGTGGTTCTGAAACTTGAAGGCGAGATCTGCCAGGCGACTCACCTGTCACTCACAATGGGAACAACGGAGAGGTGGATAGGCACGGGGGGAGGAGAGAGGCGGGGAGAGTGGGAGGGAATGAGGGAGGGACGACAGGATGGGGGGAAGGAGGGAAGGAGCGAAGGGATGGCGGGAGGGGGGCTGCGAGAACGATCGAGCAGAACCTATTCAATGCACTGGGGAAAAAGCACAGCGGAGTTTCTGGGTGCGTGATGGGGTGGGTGGCGGGGTGGTGGGATGGGGTGGTGGGTGGGTGGCAGGGTGGTGGGATGGGGTGGTGGGATGGGGTGGTGGGTGGGTGGCGGGGTGGTGGGATGGGGTGGTGGGATGGGGTGGTGGGTGGGTGGCGGGGTGGTGGGATGGGGTGGTGGGATGGGGTGGTGGGTGGGTGGCGGGGTGGTGGGATGGGGTGGTGGGTGGGTGGCGGGGTGGTGGGATGGGGTGGTGGGATGGGGTGGTGGGTGGGTGGTGGGTGGGTGGCGGGGTGGTGGGATGGGGTGGTGGGTGGGTGGCGGGTGGGTGGTGGGGTGGTGGGATGGGGTGGTGGGATGGGGTGGTGGGTGGGTGGGTGGTGGGGTGGGGTGGTGGGATGGGGTGGTGGGATGGGGTGGTGGGATGGGGTGGTGGGTGGGTGGTGGGTGGGTGGCGGGGTGGTGGGATGGGGTGGTGGGTGGGTGGTGGGTGGGTGGCGGGGTGGTGAGATGGGGTGGTGGGATGGGGTGGTGGGTGGGTGGCGGGGTGGTGGGATGGGGTGGTGGGTGGGTGGTGGGTGGGTGGCGGGGTGGTGGGATGGGGTGGTGGGTGGGTGGTGGGTGGGTGGCGGGGTGGTGGGATGGGGTGGTGGGTGGGTGGTGGGTGGGTGGCGGGGTGGTGGGATGGGGTGGTGGGTGGGTGGTGGGTGGGTGGCGGGGTGGTGGGATGGGGTGGTGGGTGGGTGGTGGGTGGGTGGTGGGTGGGTGGTGGGTGGGTGGTGGGGTGGGGTGGGCCTCACCTGCTGCAGCACGAGGCGGCGCGGCACGAGCTCCTCGTGGTTCTGTGTGCAGAACTCCCACAGGGTGATCTGTAGACAGAGGGGCATGGGTGGGACGAGATTGGTGGGACGAGATTGGTGGGACGAGATTGGTGGGACGAGATTGGTGGGACGAGATTGGTGGGACGAGATTGGTGGGACGAGATTGGTGGGACGAGATTGGTGGGACGAGATTGGTGGGACGAGATTGGTGGGACGAGATTGGTGGGACGAGATTGGTGGGACGAGAACGGCGGGAGAAGAAAGGTGGGCCATGGGCGGAATGAGACAGATGTGAACAGCCTCCCATTGACCGATTCGGTGTCTGAGAGGAAGATGGGCATGACATGATACGCAATCCCACACACACACACACGCACAGAGACTCGCGAGCGCTAGCACCCCCCAACAACAGACAGACAGACACACACACACATACACACACACACACACACACACACACACACACACACACACACACACACACACACACACACACAGCCTCGGCACCTTAGAACGGAGTTGAAGATGATCTTGAGCTTGCCCTTGCGCACCACCCTTGGCTGCTCGCCATCTTTCCCTCCCCACCTGTCCCCCTTCTCCCCACCTGTCCCCCTTCTCCCCACCTGTCCCCCTTCTCCCCACCTGTCCCCCTTCTCCCCACCTGTCCCCCTTCTCCCCACCTGTCCCCCTTCTCCCCACCTGTCCCCCTTCTCCCCACCTGTCCCCCTTCTCCCCTCTCCCCCCCCCACACACACTGCTACCGCACCTTGAGGTCGGAGTTGAACACAATCTTGAGCTTGCCCTTGCGCACCACCCTCAGCTGCTCAAACAGGCTCTCCTGGATGGCGTGGTCGTACTCCAATACCACGGCGCCACCTGGCAGCATGTACTCCGCGGGCAGGTCCGCATACAGCACCTCCTCCAGCACCCCGCTGTCGTACTTTATCTTGAACAGACGCGGGAGCACCTCCATGGTCATCTCTGTGCATTACAACGAGTTGGCACATAAGGGGGATGGATTGGTATGAGTGATTGAGGTGGTCCGCATACAGCACCTTCTCCAGCACCCCGCTGTCATACTTAATTTTGAAGAGACGGGGGAGCACGTCCATGGTCATCTCTGTGCATTGTAACGAGTCCGCAACATAATAAGGGGGATGTGTGGGTGAGTGTGAGGTCCGCATACAGCACCTCCTCCAGTACCCGCTGTCGTACTTGATCCTGAAACTGCCATAGGGCCAAATGTCCTGCAGAGGGAGGGAAGAAGACTCCTGCCGGCAGGCCATCTAACTCTCCTACTGACCTGCCTGCGCTGCCCAACACACCCCTATTGATAGCGCACGCGCAGCACACCCCCCCGTACACACGTGACACCAAAGGGGTCCACTGAAGCCTCTACCAAAACTGTCCCCACGGAGGTCGCAGGGCCAGATGTCCTGAGGGAAAACACCGGCAGGCTGGCGGCTTGACTGGCTTGACTGGCAACTACTAACACGACCACCTGCCTGGCTGCCATAGACAATATGTACACCCTTCACTGCCCACACCACACTCACCAAATCCGCGGCCAGGACTGGCCCCACAGAGGTCGCAGGGCAAGATGTCCTGAGGGAAAACACCGGCAGGCTGGCGGCTTGACTGGCTTGACTGGCTTGACTGGCTTGACTAGCACCACCACCTGCCT